GACATCTGCTGTTGCTTTCAGATTTAATCACATAAATAATTTATCACCAGAAATTCTACTAAAAATGTATTACATGAGTAAAAGCTTCTGCTCTTTCCTCAGACTGGGTACCCCTGGGTGAGCAGTGTAAGAGTTAAATATCTGCAATGGGACAAATCCCAAAACATCTTTCTGAGAATGCTGCATTACTAAAGAGAAATTTAGTTTCTCTTTAAAAGATGTGACTTGGATGCATATCAGCATTAATTACCCAAGCAGTGCAGATGTCTTTGCTGGTTTCCTGCACCACGACTAAAACCCCAAGTTACCAATGTCACATCCCCTGCCACACAGATTCCTTCTCTTGTAGGAACTGCCTCAACTCCTCCACAAGGTCTTCTTGCCATCTTCGTAATCAAATTCACTTTCAACAGCCAGGCTTGGCAAGCTGTGTAAGCAGGGCTTGTTTGCAGACATCAGAGACATCTGCCTGTTCAAGTGCCAGGCTCTTTGTGTTTATAACTGGAGATTTTACCTAAGAGAGATGAGAAAACTGAGCAACAGTCAGTCCTGTCAGACTTCTTATTTTTCAGCTTTCTGTTTTATCATTTTTTTAGTTCAGAATTTCCAGTTTTGAGCAAGGAAGATAATTCCACTTTAATTTTATTTAAACCAATAATTCTAAACTTTTACTTTTTTTCACTTTAATGAAGCTTATAGACACTTTTTCAAAGTGGAAAAAGAAACAAAGCATTTGCTTTTCATTTATTTTCACTACCTTCAGGGACCTAATTGTTATTGGAATGTGCAAGTGCCAGTACAGAAAACGGATGGAAAATGAGACATTCTGTTAAGGAATGAAGTAAACCAAGGCAAGACAAACCTGTGTAAAAATTTTTGCTTTTAAATGCTTTTCCTTTAAATGTGCCAAAACAACTATTTTTATGAGGGGCCTGTTATTGAGTCACTGCCCATAAAATCACAAAACCCCATTTGCTTTGTTGGTGACTATAGGGAATGCCCTCCTGTGAGCCACGTTTGAGACTGGGCAAGGGAGAGTACTCTAATATATATAAAAGAGAAAAAGCTGAGACCTCAGAGAAACAAAAGTAAGAAACAAATGTTCCAAAGATGCAGCTAATCCTACAAATGACACAAGTCATTTAAAAAATCAAGTACCAAATTTTGGTTGCAAACTCAGCATCTATTCTATGTGGGCAATCAAAGTCCTTTGTTAGCTTCTTAGCTCTACCACTCACCAAATGGGATTTCTAAGCACTCTAAGCATTTCTAAGCATTGCATTACAGTCTCTGCCATCCTTCTGCATAATCTCTCCGAGTATGCAAAGGCATTTTGTTCTCATTTCACAAGCAATGGCAATTTTCCTTTATCCTTTAAATCTTAACTTAAAACTCACAAGATTGCAAGTCAAAATCTCAAATACCACCTACATTTGTGTATGCAGGGTATCATTCCTCCACAGGAGATATGTTGTAAACAAAACTTTGATAAACAGAGGTGTAAAATAAATAAATATGATATGTAAAGCTGTCAGGGACATGACAGAAGTGAAAGTTTTGATTAGTGGGAAATTTGATAACAAAGGCAGTGCAAAAAATGAAAGTCATTGCAATCTTCTTTGTACTTCTGGATATGCCTATTTATATAGAGACATCCAATATTTGATAAGTCTCTTATCAGCTGGTCAACAATGAATTTTAAATTTAAAGCTATTACCAAACGTTTGTTATTTGTCAAGCTGGAAAAAGAGGAAACTGCTGGGAAAAGTGACTGCTAGGAGCTGACACTAATCTTGTGTTCACTTTCAGCCACAGACCCAAATTAAAGCAATTATTTCAAAATGACTGATGCAGACAAGTTTTCATATTGTACATTTGGATGGAGAATAGTACTATCTATGCACACAGTCAGGAATAAAAATGCAAAGTTTTACCCTGGGCTTTTAATATGCATGGCAACAAAGAAGTGTTTGAATGCTGACTGTATTCCCTTTCAATCTGTTAAAAATCTGAGAGGAGAGGAGAGTATATGTTATAGCAATGCCTTTTCCACATCTAGTTTGCTACAGTTTGGAACCAAATCCCTACAGCTGACTACAATCTGTTCTATCAGATGCCTTTGCAAGGTCAACACACAGTATTGCACTATATTTATTGCTAGCTGGTGAAAATTGAGTATCATTTAAAACTTTTATCACAACTGCAATTTGGCAAGAGATTTTACTAAATTTCCTGTCTGTGGGGATTCAAACATTGGGGTTGTATAGATAATTCTACAACCATTCGACTTGAAAAAATTCATTTTTGCTATGTGATCCTCAGTCTTCATTTTCTTTATATAGATGCACTTACTTAAAAATGAGTTTGAGTTTACTGGGTAAGATGTTTGAGAAGGAGAAAGATGAGAAAATAGGGAATGAACATTTTAAAGTAGAAATTGAAATATGTACAGCCTTACCCATTGCAGAAGAACATATTGTGGGAGACATGCCATTGGCCATGGGCTATTATGTTTTCATTGCCAGTTCATTATTCAGCTTTCCTATTCACAGCATCACCAGCTTTTGCTGGGGGTAGCTCTATCTATGGCTCAGCTCACTACTGCAAGGCAAAGATTGCAATCATCCCACTGAAAGTCTTTGCATGCAGAGGAAATGTTAGATTAGCTCAAAGCTTTAAAAGGTAGGTTTGACTGTTTACTGATCATAACTCCTAACCCTTCAACAACAAACTGAAAGACAATTTAATGATGGCTACTGTCCCACAAACCCAAGAAATATCTAAAAATATTTTTAAATTTTATGAGCCTGAGGAAATTTATCGGTCAACATTACCCTACAAATGTTTTTACCATCATCTTCTTCTTAACTGCATCAAATAAGTTGATACGTTTGAAAAGTAAAAATTAAAAAAAAAAAATCCAGGTGTCATAGAAACACATAAAGATTAATATCAGAGCAGATCTCTTGATCGAAGCAGGACTAACTTGAAAGCTAGATCTGGGTTTTGCTTAGGGTCATGGCAAGGCTAATTTTGAACCTCTGCAAGGATAAAGGTTACACAATTTCTCTGGGCACCTTATCTAGTGCTGCACCATTCTTAGTTATATTTTTTTTTCCTAAACTCATGACCAGTTTGAGTATCATTGGAATTATTTTCTTGTTCCTCTAATCAAAAAGCATCATCAATGCTTGAAAATATGTACAGGCTAAGTCAAAGCAGGATTTATGTTAGAAAGTAGTTATAGAGTTTGGATCTATATATTAAACAGTCAGGTCTTCTAAGAGGATGTAAAATCTGGAGCTTTTTATTTACAGGCTCAAGTATTTGGTTTTTAATTCAAACAAATTGTACACCAAAAAAAAATACCAACAGCAAAGTGAAATCTCTATATGCAATGTGGCTATTAGTAGTTACAAGAGGGAAACAAAGAGACACTTTTTTATTCTGTCAGTATTTCCCAGGTTATTTTCTCTGCAAGTATTCTTAGTTGTCCTATTCCCCATTACTTTGGATCTAAGTTAATGCACATTGGAAAAATTAATCTTTAAATTTTCCTGAGTACTTATGATGATTACTTGTCAATTCTCCATCCATCTCTGCTCCCATTAATCCTTGTTTTATATTTTAGGAAATGCTAAATTCCAGATTTCCAAAACATCTTCTCTAGATGTGAAGTATTTTAATAGACTAAAACGTGCTTTTAGATCAAAACTATCCCCAAACTGCACAACACCTTTAAAGAAGTATCTGAAAAGGCAAATAAGATGAGACAACCAAAATACACTTTTTAGTAAAATAAACTCATTTTCAAAGAGCCTGTACAAATTTGGTGGTATGCCAACGTGCTCAGAACTCCATGAAGGAAACCAAAGGAATTTTGACACTCCCACAGACTTACTTGCATTTTGCAGCTTCTCAAAATACAAGTTCAGAAGAGAAAATATAGTTACTTGCTATGTCTATGTAAAAACTTTTGAACAGATTAGAATGATAATTTAATTCCTTTCTTTCTGATTCCTTCAAAACTTCCAGAATTTGTACTGGTTCTTAAGTAGTTCAAAAATATTGTGTCATCAATAAAATTTTTTTGCAAATTAAAGTCACACCAGTTCTCCCAAGCTGAGTTTCATTCTGGATACAAGGCTATCTGCCAAATGTGCATATTTCTCTTATCATCTTCAAGCCTGTATCATTCATTGTTCTTAAACTGATATAATTTTCTAATTAGAGGAGTGAATGGGGCATTTTATCCAGCCTTATAAGACATTAATTCTGTTCCCAGCTGTGCAGTAGACCTGTGGGGTAAATTGTTTCAGTTCTCTATGAATTAGTTCCCTTAGCTGTATTGGAAGGTAATGATTTATTCTGATGAGCCTTAGATACAGTGTTTTAAAGTATTCATCATTCTTCTGCATGCCGGACCAAGAACACCTTTTCCCAGAGAGATCTAAGTGAAAAAGCAGAAATACACCTTGATGGCCTAAACTTTAAATGGACAACAATACAAATTTCTTAAAATAGAGTCCTACAAGCCCACTGTGAATTGATCATTTATAACAGATTCAGATTCCTGGTTCTCTCATATTAGTTCATTTCACAGAATCACAGATTCACAGAACATGCTCAGAGTCCAACAATTAGCCCTACACAGGACCATCCCCAAGAGTCACATCACGAACCTGAGAGCATTGTCCAAATGCTTCCTGAACTCTGTGAGGCTTGGTGCTGTGACCACTTCCCCAGGGAGCCTGTTCCAGGGCCCAACCACCCTCTGGGTGCAGAACCTTTTCCTAATCCATCACCCCCCCTCCTTGCCTGCCCTGCCTGTCCCTCCTGAGGAGCCTGTAACCATCCAACAGGGCACTCCACTCACAGCACTCAGCCCATCAGATTTTGCTTCTGCCCGTGATGTCAAATCTCTGGGACCAGGCGAAAGCTTCAAACTTCTCTTGTTTGTTCCTCATGCTGCATGCATTGGTATAGAAGCATTTCAAGTGTGTTTTATTGTAGACAGCACTTCATGGAGCAGATTGTGGGATCATACTAGCACTCAGCTCCTCAAGTTTTGGTGTGCCATCTCTTTGCTCATAACCAGCAAGCCTGGCTTACACCTTCAAAAGCTCTACCTATGAGCCCTGCTAGCTCCTGTGCTAAAAATGTACAAGAACCAATGTGTCTGGAACTTCTTCAGAGCCCCTTGAATTATATTCCACCACATGGTATTAAAACAGCTCATGTCAGCTATTTGAAATGTCTCTCTCCTGTATTACAGCACCATCTAAATTATCAATATGAGGGCACAGAGCCATCCATCAAGGGCCCTGTGAGCCTCTGCTTCACATGACAGTCCTGACATAAGTCCTGCTGAAGACGCTAAAAGGACTCCCATGACAGATCCCAGCATGGGTGAACAAAAATGCACTTTTAATTCCTCCTTTTTTATCTTCTAAGCAATTCCTTACACATCTTAAGCATTCATCCCCTAATCCATATTTAGAAGGCTTTATGCAGTAATCCATCATGTGAAACCTTGTTGAGAGCTTCCCTGAAAATCCATCTGTAAAATGTCTACCAGGCTTCTTTCTATGTAAGCCAATCATTAGTCCATTTAAAAATGTAATCAGAATTGTTTGTCATAATTTCTTCTTCCCAAACCCACGCTGACTCATTCTTATTGCATTTTCATTCTCCAAATGCAGCTTTAAACTCTCTGTGAACATTATCTCGAAAACGTCTTAATACTGTTGTTGGATTTAATGAACTTAATTTTCATCATCTTTCCCAGACTCTTCCCTTATGTGACGTAAATATAATTAGTGTTTTCTAGTCTCCTGTTGCTTTTTCAGTGTTGAAGCACATTTTCCAAAAAAAACAAAAAACAAAAAACTTCTCAAACATTTTATATTTAGCTATGGAACAATAGACTCACAGAATCATTTAGTTTGGAGAAGACCTTTAGGATCAGCAATTCCAACCCATTATACAACATTGCCAAGTTCACCACTAAACCTAAATGCCACATCTACACATCTTGCAAATACCTCCAGGAACAGTGACTCCACCATTTCCCTGGGCAGCCTGTTCCAATGCTTGATAACACTATTGGTGAAATTTTTTTTCCTAATATCCAAGCTAAACCTCCCCTGGTGAAACTTGAGGCCGTTTCCTCTGTTTGCTGCCAGGGAGAAGAGAGCAACCCTTGCCTGGCTCCAGCCTCCTGTCAGGTGGTTGTAGAGAGTGACAAGGTCCCTCCTGAGCCTCCTTTTCTCCAGGATAAACAGCCCCAGCTCCCTCAGCTGCTCCTCACAGCGCTGGTGCTCCAGACCCTTCCCCAGCTCCATTGCCCTTCTCTGGACATGTTCCAGCACCTCAATGTCCTTTTTGTAGTGAGGAGCCCAAAACTGGACACAGGATTTGAGGTGTGGCTTCAGCAGTGCCCAGCACACGGGGACAATCCCTGCCCTGGTCCTGCTGGCCACACTGTTGCTGATACAAGGCAGGATGCCACGCATCTCAGCCTTTTCCTGTCTTTTGTTATTATGTCTCCAAGGCATCCAATAAAGGATGAAGGTTCTCCTCAAGTCTCCTTTTGTTGTTAATGTATTTATAGAAACATTTTTATTGTCTTTTACAGCAGTAGGTAGATGAAGTTCTGTGGCCAAAGCCCTTCAGTTTTTCTCACTGCATTAACCTCACAACATCCTTGTAGTCCACTTGAGTTCCACTCCCCTTGTTCCAAAGGTCAAAATTCTTCTTTCCTTCCTGAGTTCCAGCCAAAGTTCTCTGTTCAGTCAAGCTGGTCTTCCCCACCATCTCATCTTTTGGCACATAAGGGCAGATGGCTCCTGCACCTTTAGGATTTCCTTCTTGAAGAATGTTCTGCCTTCCTGGACTCCTTTGCACTTCAGGATTGCCTCCCAGGGGACTCTGTCAATCAATCTTCTAAACAGTACAAAGTCTGCCATCCAGAAATCTAAGGTTCTTTGAGAACTGAGAATCTTCTAAAGAATTGAGAGGTCTATAATTTCATGGTCTCTTTGCCCAAGATAGCCTTCAGCAACCACATCATCCAAAAATCTTTCTCTGTTCACAGGTAGCAGATCAAGTTGATGCGTCCCCAAATTGACCAGTTGTCTCAGGAAGTTCTCTTCCACAAACTCCAAAAATTTCCAGATTTCTTTCCTCTCCACTGCCTTGTATTTGCAGCAGATATCTGGTAAGTTGAAGGGAGCAAGGGAAAGGACAAGAACACAAGAACAAAGTCAAAGACGTTTTTAGAGAGCAGCCAAAGGATTGGATGAGGATGGTGCAAGGGCTGGCAGGGAAGCTCTGTGAGGGGTGGCTGAGGTCACTTGTTCTGTTGAGCCTGGAGAAGAGGAGGCTGAGGGGAGATCTCACTGTGGTCTTCCAAATCCTTACAGGGGGAGTGGAGGGGCAGGCACTGATCTCTTCACTCTTGTATAACCAGTGATAGGACCCAAGGAAATAGCATGAAGTTGAGTTAAGGAAGATTTAGGTTGGATATCAGGAAAACGTCTTCACCTTTTGGTGAAGTGGTTAAGCACTGGAACAGGCTCTCCAGGGAAGTGCTCACAGCATCAATCCTGTCAGAGTTCAAGAAGTATTTAGAAAAGAGTCTCAGGCACATTGTGTGAGTCTTAGTATCTCCTGTGCAGGACCAGATTCACATGGCATTATGTAGTTTAATTGGAATTATTTCCTCAGTAATTTTGAAATTTTTTATTTGTATTGAAATTTTAAGTGAGTCAACCAGCATGCTCAAGTTGGAGCCTCATTATTTAAATAAAATTAATATTAAATGAGGGAGAGAAACTACATATTCCAACCTTAATGATTCTATGATTTAATGTTATGTCACCAAACATTAGAATGTCTGTCTCATCTTAAGATTCTGTGCTTTAGTGATAAGCTGTAGCAGTTAAAAAGTCAGAGCAGTAGAATACACATGAAAACTCCTGGCATTTTAGGAGGTTGGAGTTAGGTCTTAGTTCAGGATTGAACACATCTGCTCCTTTTGTGAAGAGAGGTTAACTTCATCTAATTGCATATGATTCAAGTTGATCTAGAATAGTTGCCAAATGAATAGGAGTTTTGAAGAGCAGTGCTTTCAATATTTATTCGTATTCATTTGCATCTTACTGTCCTCAAAGGTGTTCTGTGCAAACAGAGAATTTAGCAGAGTATTATTAGCATATTGCTCAAAATATGCTGTTCTGTAAACCTCCTAGTTTATTCTTAATTATGAAAAAATGACACCTCCATTAGGATACATCAGTAATCTCTGTCTCTGGTGGAACGGAACGGGTTTGTTTAGAGGAGGTCTTGGTTTTGACAAATGTCTGTTCCTTTCCATGCAGGTTGCCAAATTCAAAATGATGTTTCACTATATATATTACTATCATTTTAATTGAGACCTTCAGGTTTAGATGTGTGAATTATCATTAAAAGGCTTATTTTACAAGCATGGTTTCTCAGTTACTCAGTTACTCAGTGAAGTTCAGGTGCACTCCTGTATAACTGCAACACTCAAATCTTCATGCAGTTTTTTCCCAGGGCTCTTTGTCACCCTGGCCATCTTCACGATAGATGTATTTTTCACTGCACATCTCTGACAAGTTTTTAAATTTCTGATGGAAAAAACCAAAACTCTCCAGTCAGAATTTCCTTTCTAAAGCTCTGCAAAATCTGCACTCAGATGTCACAGCCTTAGGGAATC